TGATCTCATCACAGGGGGCCCGGTCACGCTGTTAAAGCGCCCAGTGCTGACCGGGCCCACTGACAATCCATCTCCATCGGGTGGCCCTAACATCATGGGCCACCCGGTGGACCTCTTGGACAGCGGCCCTGGTGGTTTGCCGCGCGGGCCAGGGCCGCAAAAGATGGTGGTATATACACCAGTGGTTCATTTCCTTTAGGTGAGTCCCATTCATTGCACAGTTTCCTCCATTTTACTATTGTCAGTGTTACATATAAGACTAAGACTGAGCCTGCCATTTCACAAGAACTTCGAGCATGGCTCGTTTCTGCTATTGCTGAATCTATCCCCAAGGCGTTGGCAGCGTTTCATGATCAAACTTCTACTGAAGTTAAACCCACCACACTTGCTCTCTGACTCAGAAGATTCTCAGCAGGGGATAGTGTATCCGCAGGCAAGGCCCTTAAGTTGTCTTTAACTCGCCCTATCCACGATACTTTAGACCCTCTAGAGTGCTCTACATCTAATACAGGCAATGTGATGGATGATTACTACCTCAACTATTCCGACAAGGAGCTCCCGGCGAATGCGCTACGAGACTCCTCATCAGAATTTGTCAAAGAGACATTTATTACCAAGAGAGACCCAGATTCTGGTAATACTGACCCAAGGGGACATCCTTCAGGATGCTTCAGGCTTCCCTTTTTTCATTAAACACCCACACTCAGCCGAATAAGCCCCGGCTGACTACATTACTAACTTTTGCCTCTAGAAAAGGAAATAAGGGCTAAACTTAGAGCCAAATGCCTTCGGCCAACTATCCCGAATAAGGTGGCGCAAATGCCGGAGTTTGACTCAATATTGGTGACGTTCCTCACTAAATCTGGCAAAGACCCTCGCAAGGGTATTGCGCAGGGCCTCAAGGCAGCTCAAGACAAACTCTTAGACATTGCTGGTCCTATCATCCAGATATTTATTTTAGCTGATGAAGCTATTACTAGTGGAGAATTTGATCCGCATACAGTGCGGGAATGGCCCAGAGGGCTTTATGCTTCTTGGACAATGCAAATGTGGCTATTTCTACTGAGAGACATAAGGTGGCACTATACAAAATTGATTCTAAATTAGCGGATTTGCGTTCCCGAGAATTGGGACCAGAAGCCAATGGCTTATTATTTGAAGATAGTTTTATGAGAGATCTCTCTAAACATGTATCGGTATTTACTACCTTAAACAAAGCCCAATCCTCCTTACGGAGGGTATGTAGCTCCCAATCACAGCGTTTTTCTGGGAGAGCTGGTCGCTATAGGGGCAGAGCGACCAGTAGAGCTGCCTTCACAGGCTACAGGCCTCATCCCACAAAACATTATTGGAATTCGGGAACCACCGACCGTACCACCGGCAGTTGTTCAACAACAGAGGATCCATCCAGGGACATGGATCTGCTTCCCTATGCGGACACACTGCTCCAGGTAATAAACCTTCCTTTTTCCAATGTACCTATAGCAGGTCAACTAACCAATTTTTTCCAACAGTGGGAATTGTTTTCACAGGATCAGTGGATCCTGCATACAGTCAAGGGTTTCAGAATACATTTCCTTTCCACTCCCTTCCAGGACACACCATCCATACCGTTATGGATGTCTAGAACAGGCAATCTTGCATTACAAACAGAGTTGAACAAACTTGTGGAAAATGGAGCGATCGAAAGATCGCCTTTCCCACATACTTTTTTCAGCAACATATTCCTGGTCTGCAAAAAGACAGGAGATCTTTGCCCAATTATCAATCTGAAAGATATGAATCAACATGTCAGATATCGCCATTTCAAAATGGAGGGCATCCATCTTCTCAGGGACCTCCTTTGCGTGGGAGACTGGTTCTCCAGCTTCGATCTCAAGGACGCATACCTCACAGTTCCTGTTGCCCGCAACCTTCGAGCTTTCCTTCAATTTCTATGTTCCTCAACTAAATCTCCCAAAGGCCGTCCTTTTGGTCTTCTCATGCCATTGCCGATTCCAAATACACCCTGGTCAAGTATTGCTCTGGATTTTGTAGTGGACCTGCCTCGTTCTAAGAATAGCAGCATTATATTGACTATTATAGACAGATTCTCTAAAATGTCCCATCTGGTCCCACTTATCAAATTACCTTCTTCTTCCGAACTGGCTTCTGTATTTATAAGGGAAGTTGTCCGGTTACATGGAATACCCCAAGATATTGTTTCCGATAGGGGTCCGCAATTTGTTTCACGGTTCTGGAAAGCATTTTGTAAACAATTGGGTATCAACCTTAGTCTTTCTTCTTCCTACCATCCCCAATCAAATGGGGTTACGGAAAGAATGAATCAATGTCTAGAACAGTATATCCGCTGTTTTACTTTGGAACATCAAGATGATTGGGTTGAGTTGCTGTCATGGGCAGAATTTGCCCACAACAATTAGGTGCATGAATCTACTCAACACAGTCCCTTTTTTTTTTAATCAATTACGGTTTTAACCCTACTACCCTTCCGAGTTCCTTTTCTTCTACTGGAATGCCAAGTGTGGACAGCACTGTCCGGAATATGAAGGAAACTTGGTTAGGGGTTAACCAGATCTTGATTCAAAGGGCCAAGATTCAAAAAATCAATGCGGATAGGCACCGAAGGGCTGCCCAACAATCATGGTCGGAGATAGAGTATGGCTGAGTACTCGTAACATAAAACTTAAAGTCCCGTCCATGAAGTTTGCACCACGTTTTATAGTACCTTTCCGGATCATTCAACGCATCAACCCTGTATGTTATAGACTGCATTTGCCATCTACCATGAAGATTCCTAACTCATTTCATGTGTCTCTTCTCAAGCCTTTAATATGTAATCGTTTTACTCAAAGTGCCTCGAAACCTCTTCCTTCTGTTGTTGAAGAGCAAGACGAATACAAGGTAAAGTCCATTTTGGATTCCCGTATTTCTAGAGGGAGACTTCAATATCTCTTGGATTGGAAAGGTTATGGTCCCGAGGAACGTTCATGGGTGGACGCATCCGATGTTCACACCCCCCTGGTTCGTTTATTTGAAAGGAGGCGTTCTGCCCACCCTGTGGGCGGTTCTAGAGGGGGGTTACTGTAACAATGCCTTACCTTTCCTCCTCGGTCCCGCGCCGCGCGGCATCCTTTTCCGGTGAGCAGCACAGCCCTTCTGACGCCGGCCGCTCACACCGCACATATTTTTATAATACGGCGCACGTACGTCACACGCCACCACGCCCCCGGACCTTCTGGGGGCGTGGTTTTAAAGCAATATACCCCACACTATAAAAGGGCCTCCCTGTCACTTGAAAGGCGCACTAGTGTGATTCTTGTTAGTGCCTCTAGTGCTTATACTCTCCTTTAGTGTTGATTCCCTGGTTATTGACTTTTAGCTTTCCCTTTTGACTACTCTACTCTCTGGTTTCCCGTACTTTGGCTAGGTCTTATCGTTTACCTGTCTTCTGTACTCCCTTGATCTCTGGCTATCCATTTGACTACTCTATACGTTAGTCCGGCCACTCTAAGGTCCGGTATACATTCTTCTCTGAGTTACACTCTGTGAGAAGGGGTCACTGTCGTGACACTCAGCAGTGCGTTATGTGAATCGGTTGGGATGATCCCGATCCAAACTGCTGTCCGATCTTATGAAGGACCTCTACCAATTCTGCCAATTCTAGTCGCAGACTGGGTCTCCCGTCATTGGAGGGACATCAGCGACTGTCAATCTGTTCTCCTCTCTCACGATTGCACGGTGGATCAGATGGCTGTTTCATCAAATTCATTCTTTGCGGACCCCTCACGCTAGACCTTTTTGCATCTCAGTTGAACCGCCAGACTGAGGCCTTTTTCATCTGGTTTCCAGACCCCCAATCCTGGGCAGTCGATGCATTTCTACACCCTTGGCCAGAGACGGGAGCTTATGCGTTCCCGCCCTTTTCCATGATCCAACATACACTTTATTGGGTCAAAGCTCTAGTAGTACCAACAGTTCTTGTAACTACATTGTGGAGGGCCCAGACTTGGTTCCCTACTCTTCTGGAACTATCAGTGAATTATGTCGGTGGCCAGCAACCTTAAAGGACCACTATAGTGCCAGGAAAACATACTCATTTTCCTGGCACTATAGTGCCCTGAGGGTGCCCCCACCCTCAGGGACCCCCTCCCGCCCTGCTCTGGAAAGGGGAAAAGGGGTTAAACTTACCTTTTTCCAGCACTGGGCGGGGAGCTCTCCTCCTCCGATCCTCCTCTTCTCCTCCCCGTCGGCTGAATGCGCACGCGCGGCAAGAGCTGCGCGCGCATTCAGCCAGTCACATAGGAAAGCACGTAAGCGCCTCTAGTGGCTGTCAATGAGACAGCCACTAGAGGAATAGGGGGAAGGCTTAACCCATTCATAAACATAGCAGTTTCTCAGAAACTGCTATGTTTATGAAAAAATGGGTTAACCCTAGCTGGACCTGGCACCCAGACCACTTCATTAAGCTGAAGTGGTCTGGGTGCCTAGAGTGGTCCTTTAAAGAAGGGAATCCCTCTAACCCTTCAAAAAGACAAGAAATTGTACAATAGTACAGTCTTTTTGTAGCCTTTTCTGTCTTTGTACTACTCAATTCTATTACCCCGATTTCCGACATCCTCAGGAACCCAGCAGGGGACTGCCATCCGCTCGCTCTTCAGGGACCATTTCAGGGGATCTTGGAATGTCTCGGGACTTTCGGAAATGGCTCAGGTTCTCCTATGGTACTCCTGGGCCCCAGGCACTAGACGCGCTTAACTCTCTGCATGGCCGACATGGGTCAGCTGGTGTCTGGAAAGGGATATCAATCCCTTTTCAGCACCTCTTACAACCAATCTAAATTTTCTATCTACCCTCTTTGATCAGGGCAAATCCTATAGATGGATTAATATGTTTAGTATGTCCGCTATTTTTCTGTTGATAATTCCACGATAGGGAAACACCCCTCTGTTTGTGGACTTTTACGGGGCATTCACTTGGCCAGACCTCCTAACCCATATATTCCAATCTCTGGGATGTCACCCAGGTTTTTTCCTTTGTGGAATCTTGGCCTTCCAACAAGGCTTTGTCCTTACGCCAACTTTCTGCCAAGTTGGCATTACTTCTATGTTTATCTATCCTTCCGTAGGGTTTCTGATATTCGAGCGTTTGACTACCATGCTGTAGTTTTCACACCTGAGGGAGCTAGATTTAATATCACCAGACGTACGAAGACTAATGCTTGTTCAGTCTTTTATCCTTTTTTTTCGAACACACCATCTCTCTGCGTGGCGTGTTGTGTTCGACATTCTATAAATACTACGGCTACGCTGCGTTCCGCTACGGGGCCTATTCTGGTCTCTTATGTCAGACTGCGCAATCTGTTCTCCTCTCTCACGATTGCACGGTGGATCAGATGGCTTCTTACCCTGGCTGGGATTGACCCTTCCTTTGGAGCACACTCAGTCAGAGGAGCAGCTGCATCCTCTGCCTTTGGAGCAGGCAGTTCCCTCTCAGACATCTTATCCTCTGAGGATTGGTCCAGGGAGTCCATGTTTTGTACTGTCTATTTCAAACCTATGCCATATGCTGCATCTTCTATGATACAGGAGCGTTAAAACAGCAAATATGAGGCCTCCTGTCTTGCCATAAAATGTATCATTCTCTCACCAATGCTTACTATGAAGTATGCCAATGATTGCTGTTCACTGCATGTGTTTAATAGACTTGATTTTCTCTGCTAAGAGAACCTATACTTTCACGGAATTCTCTGTGTTTCCTTTTAGTGTGAAGACCTTTCTATAGTCGTTATAACGTGGAGCCTGCAGCTAATCAGTTCTTGGTTTATAAGGTTGACAAAGCACAGGACCTTCTGTTTCGTACATTGTTCATGAAGTTATATTGTTTACATGGTTGAGCTCTGCTAGTCTCGGTTATCATTAGGACATTAGGTCCCCCCCCCCCTTATTAGTATTTAGGGCCCCCACCCACCGCTCAGGGGGGGGGAAATTAGGTCCCCCACCTTTATTCTGATTTAGGGCCCCCACCCTCCGCTCAGGGGGGCAATATTTTTTTAATTTTTTTAAATTTTTTTTTTAACAGTGAGCAGCCACATGCTGCTCACTGTTTAATAGACATGCCCCTACTCGCGGTATAGCGAGTAGGGGCATAATTTACTAATACTTAAGTAATCTTTACTTAGTATTAGTAAATTTGGCTGAAAGTCCAATTTAGGTCTTTCAGCCTTTTAGTAGATAACTCCCTAATACCGTGGGAATTAGGGAGTTATCTACTTATTAATTCCTGTCATTACATTGACTGGCTAAGTAACTTACATTTTACATGAATGTGTGTTACTTGATTGTTGTAAGTGTTGCAAATGCTTACAGCTGAATCCTGGCTATGTTTGTATACTTTTTATTTAAAATTGTATACATTGTAGCATTCTTCTTTCACTGGGTAAATATATTAGTACTTTGGCAATTTCAGAACTTCGGCACCTATTTAGACAACTATGCCTGTAAATAAACTAGCTAGTACACCGTTGTACATACAGCATCAGACACCACACACTTGTGGGAACTACATAAAGCAAAATAATAAAAAATGTAGTGCTTTACAATCGAACGCCACATGACTGTTACCATTTGTATGCTATGTTGCTTGTTCATGCTGTTGGGCATCACAGGACTGTTTTGTTATGATTATGTATGCACTGCAAAAAAAGGTGTCTTTTTTTCTTCAGTCTTTTTGTTCAGCCCCCAAAAAGGCCAGATAATCTATATATAAAAAAAAAAAAAAATCTAATTTAAAAAAGACCCGAATATGAAAAAAAACAAAAAAAAAAACAATCTTCACCCAGTAAGGGCTCCATGCAGACTGAGCTTTGCAGGGCATGGAAAGGCTTATATATCTTGAGCCTTAACGGGTTGCCCCCTTTTATTACTTAGGGTCCCCACCCACCAGGAATGGGTGGAGCCTGGAGGGGGAACAATAGTTCTCCCCTGTTTATTACTTACGATCCCCACCTGATGCTAATGAGTGGGAACTGGGAGGGAAAAATAGGTTCCCTCCTCCCCCAATTTTTACGTAGGGCTGCCACTAATAGGTGGGGGCTGGGAGGGTTTAGTAGGCCCCACTCGCACGGCACAGTTCCCCCCCCAGTTAATTATTATAATAGCAGCCCCACCATGTGTCAGGTCCCCTTTATTGAATTGGGAGGGGGTATTTTTACAACAAAGCAGTCACTAGCTCTGTTGTAAAACGTAGAACACTACTGAACAGACCCTCCAATTGTACTCATTATAAAAGCTGCAGGAACATAACTAAAATAATTAAAATGTACAAAATCGAATAAATTGCATTAATACTACTCCGTGCCATTGATCAATTATGTGTCTATACTGTTCTGTGGCAAAAGTTCCCATTTTGTGGACCGACTGCATCTCAGAACCTCCAATAATTACTATATATACACACACACACACACACACACACATTTTAGGTTTTTTGGGGGGGGGGGAATAGAGTTTGTATATTCTAGCAAACCATACATACAAATTGTGAACTTTATGTATTCTGTAGTAAATGTTTATTTTTGTTTCCTTTACAAAGTTGCACCGTATTCGTTAACTGCCTTTCAGGTTATGCACACTTACTATGAGTACTATGGGGAATGCTAAGAAAAGTCACCACAATAAATTTAATAGAGAGAGAATCGCCATCTCTCTGGAAATGTCAACGTATGAATATTACCATAGACTTCTTCACCTCACCCTACAATCTTTTCTCAATAAAGGCAAATTTCATTATTCAACCTAAGCATTATATTAGATCAGAAGCTTCATTCACTTATTGAAATGGGAGGGGGTATTTTTACAACAGAGCAGTCACTAGCTGCACACAGTTTAGTATACATACCCCTACTCACAGTTTAGCAAGTAGGGACAGGTGGGAGATTGTAAACTCCCTTATTTACCAATACAAAGTAGTTTTTACTTCTAGTAGTATTAGTCAAGTAGGCTTATAGCTCCCTAATACTTGTGGGATTACCATTATATTATGGTGGCAATCTCACTAGTTACCAATTCAGGGGGATAATTACTAAACGGCTGCAAGATGCAGCCGCAGATTGAAAAGCACGAATTTCATCCGAACACAAATGAACTGTCGACATTCAGTTCAGAACAAATTTGGTCCATTCGCCAGCGCCCTATTCTACAAGAAAGGACGTTCAGGAGTGGCAAATAGAGGCATCACAAGAAAAGAAGGTGGGTGAGTATTGTGGGAAAACTTTTTTTGACACAAGAAGTTCAGTTTACATACGCTCCTCCTTCAGCCAGAGAAAGTAGTGTATGAAAAATACATAAGATAATGTAGGCCCTACTTTGCCTTAGGTTTTAAAGAAACCTCGATCAGAAATAAAGAAAAGTAGAACAGATTCTGAGAGAGGAAGCAACTGGGAAAAGGTCAGTTTGGCGTGACAGTGCCGCTTTATTTAGTTTGTTGGGCAAAAATCTCACACGTGACAGTCCCCGTTTTAAAAGTGTACAAAAGTTTAAATAACCTAGGGTTTATCAATATAATATTTTTTACCCATTCCCTTGTATAAAAAATAAAACACACAAATTTAAAGTCCACATATTTTAAATCTACCAAGTCCCATTTTTTTTTTAAAGGGGAAAGCCTTTTTTACCCCCAGGGCTTCCTCTTACAAATCTCCTAAATCTAGAACTTGGAGGAAAGAAAGCTGGCACTCAAGCTAAACATGTTTTATATCTGTCTTCTAAAGGACAACTTTAATGACCCTTGGAGGAAAATTGGTGTCCATGCCTCCGAGCAAAGGAACAAGACAAAGGAAGAGTTTAATCCTGGTAGGAGTCATTTAATGGTATCCCTGCTGAAGAGGTAGATTACTTAGCCATCTAAGCTTCAGATTAGGGAAATTCTTTCTTAAAGAAACATTATAGCATTCCTAACACTAGTGTCCCTCTGCCCTCCACCTCCATGCTGGTAAGTAAAGTAAAAACATTTTTTTTTAAATTTAAAATAAAAAAATTCACTCCTCTACACCGTACCCCTTATCTTTTCTATCCACTTATATTTCCATTTTTTTAGTTCATTATGTACAATTGTGCAGTATAGGATTACTCATGGAACACAAAGAGAGGTAACGAACAAAATGCGATATTATACTGCCCCCTGACATTCCTAAAGGGGAAGAGACCATTGGGTGGAAAATGTCCTCTCTCTCAAACCTAATATTTGTATGGTTGTACACGATTTCATTTTTATTTACAATAAAAACCAGGACAAGAGGATGGACGTTGTAAATGTCCGAGATTAGCTTAAAGACACATTGTATTACCTGCACTCAAAGGCTATGTTGTACTATTTACAGCTATCCATGTGTATATGAATATTGTTGCTGTGCATATGTTTGTTTATGTCTATGTACAGTTTGCAAATGTTATGGATATGTTGCATTGTTTCATGCTGTCTTGAAATACATAAAGAATACAAAAAAATAAAAAAATTTTTTACACTTACCAGATTCTAGTGCCAATGACCCTCGTCACTGGGTTGGGCTCTTCCTCCACCGATGCCAGACAATTGGGGGAACCTAATGTGCATGCGTGGCGAGTGTCATGCACGCATTAGGCCTTCCCTAAGAAAAACATTGACAAACTTTGTAAAACGGCACTTCAAGTGACTGTATGGTAGACAACCACTAGAGGCAGTCTCAGTCCCGCAATGTAAAAATTGCAGTTACACTGCACCCAGACCACTTCAATGAGATGATGTGGTCTGGGTGCCCATAGTGTTCCTTCAAAGTGAGGTAGTTAAACATCAGATGAAAGATGACTATACTGGGAATTATGGCTTATTTTCAAATGTTCTTGGAGGCTTTGGCTGTGAAGAGCTTTAAGCTGATGTTTTATAAAGCCCATTCCTTGATTTCCATATAGTTGTTTTTTTTTCCCCCGTTGTTTGTGCTCCTGAACCCAGCAAAAATGGGTTGACACAATACACAAAGTAAATTAAAAAAGGCAATGGTCCAGAGAGAATGTTTGTTTCACTTTTTTACTGGACAAGAATCAAGTACAGTACCAAACTTATTTCAAGTATTTTTACATTTTCACATTGTTGAACAAACATATCAAGGTTTTGTGTTTCCAATAGTCAAGCTTCATGTATATATATGTATAAAAATAGATTTTCACATCACCTAAATGAAATAAGCGGCTTACAATCTGCTACAGATTTAAAATGTGACCGTAAAAACACTGCATTAAAAGGAGGTCATTATGAAAAACCAGCGACTGTATCAGGCATATGGATGTAAAAAAGGCATAACTACAACACGTCATAAGGCTGGCAGTAGGATAAAGACTTCAGTTATATACAACATTTTAAAATCAAGAAGAGGGATCCTTAAAAAGGCTAAGAGAACTGATAGGAAACTGCACCAAAAGGGCAGACATTTTATATTTACCAGTGACAGCAATAATATCCAATGGACACATTTGCTATCAGTTAAGACATGGGCCACAAGGACTAGTGATCTGGGGTAGAAAAAGAAACAATGGTGGAGATTTATCAAAGTGTTCTGTTCTAAAATGTGGTTCAAAATGTAAAATGGGGGGGAGTTACCAATGGAATGTGCTTGCAGATTTCCATGGTAACTACCACGCATTTAGGACTTTGGACCACTTTTTAGGAGAGAACCCTTTGACAAATCTCCCCAAATTTATCCAATTCCCCAAATAAATCTATTTTTTTTTTTCCCCATGAAAGACAGTTTTACATTTTTATCTTTTCAAGATTTTCTCTTCCTGTTAGGAATATAGTTCATATAATAAAAAGCCCCAGTTTCTTTTAAAATGAAAAATGTACATTCAATTTTAGTCAAACACCGGGATATAGCTCAACACTAGCCTAAACTTAACCTAGTTGTTTGCAAATTACATTTCTCATAATGCTCTGCAATGCATTATGGGAAATGTAGTTGGCATACATATTGGGTGCAAAGTTTAGAAATTGCTGCTCTACACAAGATTTAAACAAGTCATGATAACCTTTTATACAGTTTAAGCACATGGTACAGATGATCCATTGTTTTGTTTTTGTGTGTCTCTAAACATTCGTTAAGGATATTTACCCACAGAAGGTTAGGATTCTTGTTGGAGTATTAATAAAACAAAACAAAAATAATAATGTTTGATAGTTTGATATTTCCCCATCTCATCCTCAAGAAAGCAAAGGAAAGTTATAAAATAAAGCAGAACATCTGATTATCAATATATATATTTTTTTTTTTTACATCAAGTTAGGTTTTCTTTTTCAACCCTGTCCACATGTGCTTAAATGCCTATAAAAATAGATATTTAAAAATCATTAGAATTAAAAATGCATAAACAATGAAAAAGATCTACAAAAGATCCATACGATAAAACGTTTAAAAAGATTCAGCTCGGACAGGTACTTCATGTAGGTGAAATGTTTACATTCATGATACAAGGCATAATGCATGCTCTGCGGGATAAAATTTGCTTTGTCTCCTCTGCTCCCTGCTTATTCTTGGCTTACATCAGGCAGCTTAGTACGAAGGAATGCATGGACATGTGGCCAGATCTTGTTGGTCTCCGTCCCAGAAAATGTTTCCAACACACCCTTGTTTCTAAAGAGATCAGAGCGAAATGTCATGAATGCAATTTCCATATTAGAGAACACTACTGAACAGACCCTGCAATTGTACTCATAAAAACTACAGGAACATAAGTTCCCATTTTGTGAACCGACTGCATCTCAGAACCTCCAATAATTACTATATACATAAAAAAAATAAAAAAAAAAATACACACACACACACACACACACACACTCTCTCGATTTTGAAGTAATACATATATTCTTTTGGGGGGGGTTGGGGTGTAAGGGGGGAATAGAGTTTGTATATTCTAGCAAACCATACATACAGACAAATTGTGAACTTTATGTATTCTATAGTAAATGTGTTTTTTTTTCCTTTACAAAGTTGCACCGTATTAGTTAACTGCCTTTCAGGTTATGCACACTTACTATGAGTACTATGGGGAATGCTAAGAAAAGTCACCACAATAAATTTAATAGAGAGAATCGCAATCTCTCTGGAAATTTCGACATATGAATATTACCATAGACTTCATCACCTCACCCAACAATCTTTTCTCAATAAAGGCAAATTTCATTATTCAACCTGAGCATTATATTAGGTCAGAAGCTTTATTCACTCTGTACCAAGTCAGCTTCTGTAAAGTAGTCTGTATTTATAATTCTAGAACAAGGCTAACATAGGACGATATAGTACCAGGTTACATCATCACTCTGTTTTGGCTTATAATGCGCTGCCAAATCAAATAAATGGTACTCACAAACTCCTCAAATGGATGCAGTGATAAACATCACCTTGAATTTTATCTTAATGTATTTTAGGTTTTATTCCATCATATCGGTCAGAGGTTGTTTTCTTTTCCCCTTCAGTATAATTAGTTCTATTCATGTTGTACAACATTACAGATATTTAGCTGGAGGACTAGTAAACTTGGCTCACGATGAATCTTAATTATATTAACAACTGAATCGACACCAGTGACCGCTTGAGAGTGGTGGTGGCAGGTTACACTAATGCTCACAGCCTGTCGTTGCCGCCCTGCTTAGACAAACTCAATGATAAAAGTGCAAATTCTGCATTATAAATAAAGCAAAGGCACAGAGACTTGTAAACATTTTGACAATCAGAAATTTTAGGCAATATAACTACTAGAGTGAGATCACTGGAGGATCCAGGGGGGGGGGGGCAACGGGGCAATTGCCCCCCCCGAGAAATCCGCCGGTCTCCCTCCCCTGCAGCACATGCAGGTGCTAGCCCTGCAATGTGCCTGCGGACCGGAGGGGAGATCAGAGCTCTCCCTCCCCGGTCCGCAGGCACTGTGCTGACAGCCGGCAGGGGAGGGAGAGGGAGGACCCGGGAGCTCAGTCTGCAGCTCCTCCGGGTCCTCCTCTCGCGAGATTTGGAGCGTTGCCGCGGTTACCACGGCAACGCTCCAAATCTCGCGAGAGTGAACTCTAGCCCGGGAGCGCGGGCTAGAGTTCACTGTAACCACTGGGACCACCAGGGAATCACCACTGGGACCACCAGGGAATCACCACTGGGACCACCAGGGATGAAAATATGTCCCCCCTCCTCCTCAATAAAGGTAAGAAGGGAGGGGGGACATAGAATATTTGTTTTTTTTAATTAAATAAAGATATAAATTATAAAAAAAAGCCCCCCCACCCTTAACACACACACACACACACATAGCCCCCATACTGCCCCCCCATACACACATGCTGCCCCCCCATACACACATGCTGCCCCCCCATACACACATACTGCCCCCCCATACACACACATACTGCCCCCATGCTGCCCCCCATACACACATACTGACCCCCATACACACATACTGACCCCCCATGCTGCCCCCATTCACACACATACTGCCCCCCATACACACATACTGACCACCATGCTGCCCCCCATTCACACATACTGCCCCCATACACACACATACTGCCCCCCATGCTGCCCCCATACACACACATACTGCCCCCATACACACATACTGCCCCCCATACACACATACACATACACACACACATACTGCCCCATACACACATACTGCCCCATACACTGCTGCCCCATACACACACATTGCCCACATTCACACACACACTGCAACTGTTACACACACATACTGTCCCACACATACACTGCATCCCTGACATACACTGCCCCCCCTACTCACACACTACAACCTTCACACACACACACACACACACACACTGCTCACACACTGTCCCCCTCACACACACACACACACTGCATCCCTTACACATTGCACCACTCACACACACCACTGCTCCTATGCCCTACTACCGCCCCATTTCCCAGCAGACCTCAGGTAAGTTGTCAAACTGTTCTTAAACGGTTTGACTACTTACTCTAGGAGGGGGTCCCGGCACTATTGACACCATAACCACTACACTGAGCTGTAGTAGTTATTGTGTCTGGATTATTTCTTTAAATAATCTACAAGTGCCCCTCCCGAGATCAGGCTCTGGATCCGCCACTGAGTGAGATGAGTTTGTTGCATAGACTTTCCCTTTAAACATGTATATCTGAAAAGAAGCTTTCAAACAAAAAAAAAAAAAAAAAAAGTATATATGTATTATGGCATTCTTACAACCTATCATTAAGTTCTATTTTAAAAATGACTTTCTCACCGATAATATTCTAGAACAGGCCTAGTAAGAGCCTCGTAGCCCTTCAGTCTCTTAGTAACAGTTTCAGGCTGGTCATCTTCTCGTTGAATTAGAGGCTCTCCAGTGATATCATCAATGCCCTAGAAAATAAAAATACATAACTCATAGCTCATCCAACTCTACCAAAAACAATTAACAATCTTGTTTTATTTTATTTAGAAAATGTCACCATGCAAAACAGTCACCCCAAATAAACTAAAATGCCATGTGAAGTGCTATTGCAAAGAGGAAGCATCATGAGAATTATAACTTATTCATTCAGAGGATTTCCTATTTTCCTTGTGCATTATCCACCATGGTCCTGTCCCTCTGCTTGACAGATTAATTCCCACCATTCTATTGCTGTATTTTTGATGCACATTCGACATTGTCCCGTTCACCTCTCTTAATGGTCTCTGACCTTGGTTTACCTGCATTACACTCTCTTGCCAATTAAGACAAAATTCCATGCACTTTAACGGTCACTTCAGCCATTCAGGGTTTAGACTAGGTATCAAGTGAATGCCATTTATGAAAGGTTTAAATATAAAAACATTAAAAAAAAAGTTTAAGTAGACCAAGCATTACCAAAACTTTGGGAGGATTGAATTCTGTGTTGTAAACTCTGCCACTGCCAGGGTGGATCCATCGTGCAGTTAGTCTCTGTCTAATGGTTTCAAATGGAACATTCAAATCGATCACAGAATTTATCTGATGAGCGTCATCCAGAGCCTTCGCCTGTGGGACAGTCCTAGGAAAACCTAAATTAAGATGGCTTGTTAAATGAGGTTTACACAATAAAATAAAATAAAAATACAACACTAACAAAAGAAAAACCACATACAAATCATGCTTGGATTCATTTCTCATTCTTACTAAATTCTGTTGAACACTTATCAAAGAAATGATCTAGTAATGATGGATACCAATGGATTTTTATATATTTAGCTTGTACGGAAATAATTTCTTTGTTGACCCCAAGGAAGGTCAAACAGCTAACCTACAAGTACATTGAGGATCTGTCAATCATAAGTAATTGGTCAACATGTTTAGCACCAATCCACTTTCGCATAAAAAAATATATATAAATAAATAAAAAAAATAAAAAATCTCAAACAAGAACACAGCGGGAGTCAATTCATAATTAGAAGCAGTCAGGCCTGCAAGTTCAATGTTATACAGAGATAGTCAACTGCAGATACATTTCAAAGCATATAGTCCAGGGGTAGGCAACCTTTGGCACTCCATGGTGCTTTGCCAGAATTAAGACTGTAAGAGCAGCATGGGAGATGTAGTCCACTCCATCTGGAGTGCCAAAAGCTGATTTCCCTTGATATACAGGGTCAAAGTGAATTGCAATGTTTGCAGTTTGGCTATTTTCACCTTAAAGGGCCAAGTATAGCCACCCAGACCACTTCAGCTCATTGAAGTGGTCTGGGTGCAGTGTCCAAGGTCCCTTAACCCTGCAATGGTAATTATTGCAGTTTTTGATAAATTGTAATAATTGCCATGGAGGGTCATTAGGCGGCTCTCCTGCTCGCTAAATTAAACTTTAATCATATATAGAAGGCTCCTGCAGGGTCTATCAAGCTTTTAACAGTGCAGGACATAAGAAATTCTAAATTAAACAGAATTTGCAATAAAAGAAGTATAAACATTAGATGACTCTTTACAGGAAATGTTTAGGAACGCTGTACAAATCACATGCAGGGAGGTGTGACTAGTGCTGCATAAACAAATTGATTTAACTCCTAAATGGCAGAGAATTGATCAGTGAGAGTGCAGGGGCATGAGCTATACATCAAACCTGCTTTAATATGCTAAAGTTGTTTTGACGACTATAATGTCCCTTTAAGACGGCCTCTAGTGGCAGTCAGCCAGAGAGCCACTATAGATGCTTTTTGCTGTTTCACAGACTTTAACTCAGTGAAACGACGCTGGACATCCTCACAAGTTGCATGAGGATGTCCTGTGTCTTGCAAAGCTCCATAGGAGAGCATTGTTTCAATACTTTCCTTTGGGGAAGGCCTAATGAGAGTGCAGCGCACGCTACGCATGCCATTAGGTTTGCCCTCGCAATGAGACGAGCCAGTGCTGGAAACGAGTAAGAGTTTAAAGGGGTTTTAACACTTTGATTGTCATGGTAAGGGGGGTTCCACAGGGGTATCGGGACAATTTAGTGTCAGGAATACAGCTTTGTATTACCAACACTATTGTGTTCATTTAAATGTTATTATATGGCAACCCATCCCCCATTTGACCCTTCAATAGTTAAAGACTACATATAAGGCACTTTGTGGTTGCATAATAATATAGATGACACATTTAAGATTGGAGATGCCATAAATCATTTGGGGACCAGCTGACATGAAGGTGCCATTTTGGTAGAAAACAATGATTTTCCTGTAGAAGTAACTTTTTCAACAGAAAAACATTTAACTTAGAACATTTCCTTCTTATCCACATGTGTTTTTAGAATGCTGCATTATACTCACTATCTATTATGATCCTGTGGCTTACTATTTATTAGAACACAGTTTTATTATCGGATATAAAGCGGTTTTCACTTATACATTTAAATGAAAAAATACTACCGATTTACATTTATGATTAAAAGCATGCAACTTAGATTCAAGCATCAAAACACTTTTAGTGTAGTAGATTGTGAATACACATACCATCAAGCAGCCAGGAATTAGTTCTCATACTGTTTAGTTCTTGCAGAATGAGTTTAGTGATGACATCATCTGGAACCAGTTGACCTTGGTCTATATATGACTTGGCCACAATTCCAATTTCTGTTGAAGGAACAGCAAAAAAATAAATAAAAAATTATATATATATATTACATATATATATTATACACATATACATATATATACATATACATATACACACACACACACACACACACACACACACAAATAAAATGATTGGTATACAAAAATATAGATTGATTAATTATAAAGAAAATTCTTTACAGGTTTCCTTTTTTTCTCCATTAAAGCACCGTATTATGCTTTTATAAAGACAAATTAATACATCAGGGGTTTTGTGGTTAAAACACAAACCTAAAGTATATATTTTTAGTTTTGGTACTGTTGCAACAAGTCAGGAAAGCAAAAAAAACCTTTTGAGACATCAGTTTAAAAAATATTTATGAGCAATCACTGGGTTTTGGTTTTTTTTTTGTTGAAAATCAGTTTTTTTTCAAAAAGGTCCATTCAAACAAAACAAACGTAGTGTGGCATACTTTCAGGATAACTCACATAAATAACAGTGACATGGTCAAATATTTTGTTTCCTCGCCACTCATTTGCCCCGAACAGTGGTAAAAAAAAAAAAATTAATTATACCTATCCTTACTCTAGCCCAGCTTAATAATTCTAGACCATCACTTACTCCCAAAAACTCTCTAAGCTAGGGCTTTGCTTCATCAGTACAGCAGTATTAAAGGGACACTATAGTCACCTGAACAACTTTAGCTTAATGAAGCAGTTTTGGTGTATAGAACATGCCCCTGCAGCCTCACTGCTCAATCCTCTGCCATTTAGGAGTTAAATCCCTTTGTTTATGAACCCTAGTCACACCTCCCTGCATGTGACTTGCACAGCCTTCCATAAACACTTCCTGTAAAGAGAGCCCTATTTAGGCTTTCTTTATTGCAAGTTCTGTTTAATTAAGATTTTCTTATCCCCTGCTATGTTAATCGCTTGCTAGACCCTGCAAAAGCCTCCTGTATGTTATTAAAGTTCAATTTAGAGATTGAGATACAATTATTTAAGGTAAATTACATCTGTTTGAAAGTGAAACCAGTTTTTTTTTCATGCAGGCTCTGTCAATCATAGCCAGGGGAGGTGTGGCTAGGGCTGCATAAACAGAAACAAAGTGATTTAACTCCTAAATGACAGTGAATTGAGCAGTGAAATTGCAGGGGAATGATCTATACACTAAAACTGCTTTATTTAGCCAAAGTAATTTAGGTGACTATAGTGCTCCTTTAAGTCCTGCACTATCTATATGGGTAACCCTCACCCTTAACACTGCTACTCAAAAATTATACCCCATGAAAGCTGGTTTTTCCCTCTCACTCGTGTGTATGTTCTGCCCGTTTTAACCCCTTCAGGACGGAGTCAATAGTATACGTTCTGATCAAAACAAAACGTAAACAAAAACTGGAATTTGCGCTATATGTCTGTTCAACCGTAATTCACCTCTTTCATATTAAATGCACCCACACTTATTATATATCATTTTGTTCAGGAGAAACAGGGCTTTAATTTCATATCAAATATTTATATATGAAACAATTTATTACTAAAAAAAAAAAAAAATTTTAAAAAACTGTGAAATTGTAAAAAAAAATTCAAAAAAAAAAATTGTAGTTCCGCCTCACATTTTAGCTGTAAATGTCATAATACTGTTAGGTTTTACTGCAACAAAATGCACATATTTGTAATCAGCGATGTCTCATGAGTACAACAGTACCCCCTATTAACAGGTTTTATAGTGTTTTGGAAAGTTACAGGGTCAAATATAGAACGTTCCATTTTCAAATTGAAATTTGCCAGGTTAGTAATGTTACCTTTGAGACGGTGTGGTAGCCCAGGAATGAGATTTACCCCCATAATGGCATACCATTTGAAAAAGTAGACAAGCCAAGGTATTGAACGTGGGGTATGTTTAGTCTTTTTTTAGTAGCCACTTAGTCACAAACACTTGCCAAACTTAGCGTTCATATTTGTTTTTGTGTGAAAAAAGCAAAAAACTAATATTTGGCCAGTGTTTGTGACTAAGTGGCTACTAACAATGACTGGACATGGTACCCCCTATGTACAGGTTTTATGGTGTTTTGGAGAGTTACGGGGTCAAATATAGTGCTTGCGAATTAAATTCTCTGCACTTTCTCCCTGTGTTGTCAGGCATGTCAATCAAATCAGAGAGAGAATGTCATTTTAAGTGTATTTTGTTACATATACACATACATACATACATATATATATATATATATATATATATATATATATATATATATATATATACACACACACACACACTAAAACACTAAAACACTGGGTGCTCAGGTAATCAGGTTCGGTAGGTAACGTTATTTCTAACGGTCATTTAAATCAAAATTTACGCTAAATGAAAATAAACAGGGTCAGTCACTAAAGTGAGAATTCAAGGTGAATTTAAAATTTAAAGGGACACTATAGTCACCAGAATCACTACAGCTTAATGTAGTAGTGTTTTGGGTGTCTATAGCATGTCCCTGGAGGTTCTTCAATGTAAACTTTTTCAGAGAAAATGGTATATTTTGCAAAGTTCTGCTTCTAACTAGCTTGCCTGTTCTGAATGAATTAAAATGATTGTTCCTCATTGTGAATGTTCTTTGTTCTTCTATTATTTGTTTTGGATGGCCTTTCAAGTTACAAAACTGCAGAGGTGGAAAAAGCAATCAACCTAGCAAAGTTCACCACTCAATGAATTTACCCCCCAGGAAGATATTTTAAAGAGTGCCTTAGGTTCCATGACCATCTCAGGACATGAAAAGCAAGAAAGCGATCACATCATTGCTACTGTGCTTGGAAAGAGACTATATATAGGGATTGATTACTTTCCCATCCATTCTACTTCCCCAAGCAGGGCCTCTGATTCCACAGCACTAGACCCATTGCACTAGTAGTCATTTTCATTTTGTTTTTAGTGTATAGCTTCACATTATATGCAAACTTGCTGTAGTGTTTTTATGGTCATTCCATGTGACACTGACCCTTACAGCATTAATCCTCCATTTCCTTACCAGTTTCACTAGATCGATTTATAAAACGTGCTGTAAGAGTTCTTAAAGATCTATTCATCAATTTTAATTATTACATAGTAAAAATACTATGCTTCTTTGGTTGAAGACAAAGTTAAGAGATAATGAACGTGTTTAAATCTAAGGACAATTTAACCAGTGCAGCAATATTCCATGCTGCTGTATAAAACAAGCAGGGTTTAGCTGTGGTCAGCAGATAGCTGCCTAAAGTGAGGTTTAGTTCTGCTGTACTCTAGAGAGAAAATGGTTGCCTAACTGCCTGACCAGATGTGTGGCGAGGGACAGGTAAAATGTCACTCATCTGTAAAGGTATGTATAGGTTTTAAGCTGATCTTGGCGCAGAAGCAATATTGAAAGTCAAGATTTTGTGTTACTGTAACTACAGGGTTATTTTAACAGTTCATTCATGAATAAAAATGTGTAAACCAATTACTCTGTCACGTGTTATAGAAAATAATGCTGTAACAAAGTGACAATATGAACACTCACAGCATTATTTTCCATAACACATGACAGAGTAATTTTGTCACTACCACCTTTCCATATTTGGAACATACAATAAGCATGTTTGTCCCTTTGAGTCACATGCTCAGGTTAATGTTCAAACAAGACAATAAATGTTGTCTAGAGGTCATTTAACACATGACTTCTGTGTTGAGTGGAAATATGAAATTGCAATAAAGCAAGTAGGACAAAAAAAAAAAAAAAGTTACATTATGTTTGGAAGGGAATGAATGTAACCTAAGTGTTCAATGACAACTAGTGCCCAAAGTTGTAGAAACGTTCACAAATGATAAGCTCTGCAATGCCCAAAGTGCTGACTATGTTATCATGGAAACAATTTTATGGTTAATAAAACATCGTTTATTTAAGTTGGATGAAACGCAAGTCCTGATTTCACATCCTCACAATTTAATATACAGTTTAACCTTGGAACTACACTGCTGGCAATTTACCAAGAAATATCAAATTTGAAAGGGATACTAGAGTGCAAGGAATACAAAGCTGTATTCTTGGCACTATCGCTCATGCAGAGCAAGAGGACGTCCAGTGTCAGATACCGCAACAAAGGTCCGTTTCGATCCAGGAAGTGCCAGCCAGCCACTGGAAGCAAACTTAGTGCTGCAATGTAAACATGAATTTAGTAATTTTAACCCTTGATATTTCCAGCTTTTGGTGCTGAATTCCCTGACATATCTAAGCAATGTCGATCATCAGGATCAGTATGTTCCTTTATACATATGTTCGTGATTTCTCCAGCACAATGTATATGTCAGAAGTCTATACCTCACTGACTGTGACCTATGAATGACCTTGTAGAAGGCAGAGGCCATTTAAGAATTTAAAAAGAAGATTTTCCCAGGCTAGCACTGCCTAAAATTAAGAAGAAAATAGAAACTCTTGTCAGTCCTGTCTTGAATAGGATGCTCTATGCTTAGTAAATGAAAACATACAAGGAACCACAGGAAAGGATCAAGTCTCACTGATTGGTGTGCTTATCACTCAAACTGTTAAGCTAGATTCATTAGAAGTGCCTTGGGGATTTAGATAATAAAGACACATTGAAGTCATAAACCAGCAGCAACTAAAGAGCCAGAAACATCACTTCTCTGTAAAACTAACCAGACTGGGTTATTCACTAAACTCTAAATGCTACTAGATAAAAATGTTAATTATAAAACAACACCAGAGACTCCTTTTACTAAATCTGATGTTAGTGTGAAAAGTTGGATGATCTAAAACAAAACCTGTGCACTTTTTGAAACTCTTTTTGGAGATGATATTTGTTTGGCCCCTTAACTTAATTTTCCATATAGTGCTTGCTCTTAAATCATGTATAGCTAGCAATTGGAAACAACAGAGGCAGTTAAACTGGTTCGAAAGATACTTTGTAATGAATAACCAATTGAAGTACTACAAAGATCTGGCTAAACAGGAGAGCTTCTTCTCTCTCAATAAAAACCCAGAAGTAGTCTGAGATGGAAAACGCTCTCCAAATAGGAAAACTAGAAATGAATAGGGGACTAATATATAGCTCACTGCTACTCTCGCATCAGAATGAATGGTGAATGAATGTGATAGGTTATGGGTTTTTTTTTGTATTTGACCAAATGAATGTTATATATTTAATTCATATACTTATGTTTTTTCCCCCCTTTTAATGTTTTTGTGACTTTTTTTATTTAAAAAAAAAAAAACAAAGACAGACTTTGGACTTCAAGGTGTTTGCTTGCTTCTGGGGAACAAGGCCTGCAAGCCACTCTATGATACCAACTCATGGTATGAGAGAATCAGGAAACGCCATTCTCAGCTTCACAGGGGTTGTCGGGAGAGCTAAGAGGTCTACTTTACAGTCCTAGTTTCCCAGCTTGTCAAAAGGTAAGGCTGCAGAGATGGTATCCTGTTTCCATAACTCCTTTGCTAAGCTGAAGTGGTTATGGTACCTAGTGTGTCCCTTTTAGCATTTCCAATTGGAATTTTTTTTTTTTAAATAATAATTTACAGTGACATAACAGGCATACAATGATATAACCCTCCACATGTTTTATAAAGGTGAATTAATCATTTATATAACAGTAAAAAAAAACTTTAAGCGGGGAGAGGAGATTTAGAAAAAGTACATTAACATCAATAAAATTAATATTATGGTAAAAAAATAACAAATTCTTACTTAAATTAGACTTTAATCCAGTGTTATACAAAGTTTAAAATATAGACCAGAGAGGTAATTTCTACCAATGCTGTATAAGATCTTTATTTGTGAAAGCCATGTCACCTTGTATTTATTTTTAACTTTTTTGAAAGGAGTTTATATTTTTCTAGTAATTATGAGTGACCTTGAAAGCATGGATGTGGTAGACATATAAAAAAAATTAATTGTGTCTGCCAATGAAAAAATAATAGTCACGTTATCATTTGAAACGGTTTATGTGTTTTGTGTTGCAGCACATATTTTCAAATAAGGTATGTCACATATTTCGATTTGGTTTTTTATTTTCTTTTTATGGTTGAGAGTGCTTATATCACTGGAAGCAAAAATTACCAGCCAAACTAGGGACTTAAAACCCCAAAAACCAACAATGGGTAACATCTGGAGATCACCATGTCACATCTAAGCAAATAAATGTGGCCTAATGGGTTTACGGAAAGCACCTGTATAAACACAATATGGAGTACTTACCGGTGTGAATACAGGTGATCAAAAATCACATCTGCTTACCATGAAAAACAAAAGGATGAACAGAATCACAAGAAATGGACTTAACATTTTCTACAACGCCAATTCCTAGATCACCTCAAACACTATAATATTGTGTAAGAGACATAATGATCGTTTTGCTACACCATTTAATGGAGTCTGCAGTTTATTTTCTCAAGGGAAAGCAAGTCAAAATATCGTTGTCCCAAATAAACTTTTTTTTTAACTCAAACATGACACTAAGCCAGTCTTTATAGAGCCAAAAGTAAACATGCTGAAATAAAAAATAAATTTAAAAAATTCAGAATTATTCACAAAATGTAAATTCACCATGGAATTTAAAACTCTAGTTAAAGCACTGAATATAAACTACAGCTGACTTGGAGTGCTTTATTCATTTCAGTTACAAGAATACTGACAGGGTTAAAAATGAGTCAAGTTGAAGACAAAATAGTCAAATTCTCCAACTCATCAATACTTACAGTTGAGCTATTTTTGGCCTAAAAGTTGAAATTAATTACAAATTCCTAACACTTCACACTTCAGTGAAAGACTCTGAACATGTTTTTCAACAGTAGGGACAAATCACCTAGCTAATCTGTATCCAACACTTTTTGTTTATACAGCCTGCCAAGCATTGCTACCTTTACTGATATAATTGCCAATATGTTTGTTAGTTCAAACTTCAAAGGCTCATTTACAAAACAAGAAATTAAAAGCATGTGCAAGTTAAAAATGCATATTTGCAGAAAAGGACACTAGGACAGGCACACACTTCAAAGAGTTAGTGGTGTGAGACTTGGCAAGAAATATACATTGGTTTTTTTTTCTCCCTTTAAGTATATAGGAAATGAACGAACAGCTGCATTTATAGACAAAAATAAACTCCCAGAATTGAACAGTAGCTACTGCTAGGGCCATTATCAACTTGTTAATTCCCAAGTGAATATATTGGAGCTGATTATGACCATGATTAGTGCTTGGCCTATCAGGCTGTTGGGACAATGGTGCCTTATTATAATCAACTACCATGTAAATAGTATTAAAATTACTGGAATATAAACATAACTATGGTTCTCCTTGAAATGTAGATTAAAGGGTAGAAATATGTAGAAAGATATTGGTTTTCTGAAACATGTCATGTTTTCAAATTAAAGAGACGTTCAGCACCAAAGCCATGGGGTGGTTTTGGTGCATAGATGCCAACTAATTTGTCTGGCAATGTAAAACATTACAATTTCTGAGAAGCAGCACGGTTTATATTTTGTCTAAAATATTCCTCTAGTGGTTGACAGTAGTTGTCATAGCTCTTCATGTTTTGTGCCATGATAAACAACATGACAAGACCAAATGTGGACAATACTTCTCATAAAGAAGCTAGGGATCCAATGTTTACAAAGACGAAGCTTTAGATTGGCAAAGCACGGAAATTGCAATACATGCGCCTTGTGTCCGCAATGCTTCTCTATGCTGAATTCTGAAAAAAAGGTAGGTTTTATAACTTATTTTATCAATGGAGGGCCCTAATCTAAAGGAAAAACACTAACATTAAATACATTTACTTTTAAAGTTAGAGTCATATGTACTTTTCCCAAATGTCCCATTAACTTACACCAGTAAGGCAAGTTTGGGGGTTCAGACTTTTCTTTTACAGTTGATGATTTAGGGAAGAGGTTAAAGGGTCAGTGTGTGGGGGGAGGTGGAGGGGCTTAGAATTTGGAGTTATTTGGGGTTATTATGGCATTTTCAAGGTTAGAATTTTTGTCCTTTCAAATGCTGTATCTTTGCTGTGCCAGTTTGTGACAGTGTTCATAGAATTGCAAAAACTTTATTATAGTGCTGACTTCCTATCTGTTTACTTTTCCCAAGTAAATGATGTTGACCACACAGAAATTACCTGGCAGAAATAGCAAGGACCTAGTGACATGCTGAACTGCAGTACTTTATTTATTTGCTTTATCTTACAGCATTCCATATCTGCATAGAATGTATTATTGAAGAATGGAGGTATATGTATGGATCTCTTTTGGGACCGGTGACTTTGACAAAATTCCTTCAACTCTGTAAATTCCCTTGACTAATAACAGGCTAACCTAGATATGTGCTGGCCATGCCATGTGCCCTGGGTACCCAGCTCCTCCCCCGAAGGGTGTGTGAATGCCACCCTGGCATGCATGCCCACCTTACCGGTCTTCTTTTGGATGTTAAGTCTGAGCAGGTCTCCGCTGGACAGGTGCTGGAGGGCGAATGTCTTCACTATCCGATCTGAAATGGTCCCTTTCCCTGATCCTGGGGGGCCCATGATCACAGCCCTAAAAAGCAAGCGAGCTGCCATGGCATAAAGGAGTGTGAGGCACTAAAAAATAAGTTAAAAGTAGTATGCAAAGCAGACAGGCCTGCAAGTCAGTGTGTGTGGGTTAATTATTAATTATCATATAAGCAGGCTGCTGACTCTGCCAGTGGGGGTTAAAATCATACAGAAGTTCATTAAAAATAAAAACTCGTGCTTCCTGGAGTAACAGGGGCTGCAGAGTCCCTTACTGCCAGCATAGGTTAATCCTCCTCCCCTGCTCCCTCCCTCTTCCTCCCACCTCCCACTGCCTGGGCTGACGCTCACAGAGGAGGAGAGCAGTAGCTGACAGCCCATTATATTACTGGGGAGCAGGAAGCAAGCCGTGTGCTGTTGCTGCTCACATGTTATTCTCACAGGGAAGAAAAATCAATGGCAGAACTGCAACATCCACTATGCTCAGCCATCATGTGACTGGCTTAGCCCAATGGGAGTAGTAGGCGACATCACTTTTATTTCTGCTCATATAAATAGTATTTTAATTTCTGTGAGCAACAATTTCCCAACATGTACTAGCAGGACGATAATGGTATTTAGTCATTAAACCATGATAAAAGACCCACGCTGCCTCTAAAACTGATTGGAAGAATGTTTACTTTTTGTTTGTTTTTAACTTAATTTTGCCTCAATTTTGAAATCTAGATTTTAACTGGCTAAAATTCAACGTTTAGTGAATAACCCTGCCTGAATGTAACTAAATTGGTTAAGTGACCAAATTTCAAATCAGCCACTTTGGAGTAAATTCGGCTATCGTTTTTTTTTTTTTGTTTGTTTGTTTTTTAAATTCAATATGCAGTTTATAGTGTTATTCACTGGTATGTGGTTCAGGAATTTAAATTTTAGCCAAAAAACAAACAACCAAAACACATGTAAGGATTTAATTGTGAATTTCTATTCAATTTTCTCTCAATGTATTCATTGTATTAATGTTATTCCCACTCCTAAATAGATTCCACAAAGTCATAAAGATGCCAACAGAACAGACTTACATTGTACATCTGCAGTTTTTCAATATTGATATTTAATTGTTCTTATTTTCATATTAGGACTTTTGATACAGATCTCCAGATTACAGAGTTTGTGATCAAATAGAGAACTCCAAAACTCCAGGCTAGTATTATTATTATTATTATTAGCATTTATATAACACACACCTATTCTGCAGTTCTTTACATTATAAAGGGATATATTTAATCCCTTAAAGAAACCCTATAGGCACCCAGACCTCTTCAGCTAATTGAAGTGGTCTGGGTGCAATGTCCCTATTGCACTTAGTGCTGCAATGTAAAACACTGCAGTTCCACAGAAAATGAAATGTTTACATTACAGATCTTAGTCTGATTCCAGTGGCTGTCTACCAGACAGCCACTGGAGGCACTTCCTAGATCATAACAGACTTTTGGTCCGGTAACTGACGCTGTCGCTGGTCGTCCTCACGCCTCCAGAGTCGGCTATTTCCCCTTAGGAAAGCATTTATTCAAGTGTTTTTAATCCTTTATTTACCAATATGGGAGGGGAGGGTGCAAGGTAGAGGCAGAGAGAGCTATAGTGCCAGAAATACAGCTTTGTATTCCTGGCAATATAATATCCCATTAAGGAAGGAGGCAATTGTCAAAGTTCTGAACCAAAACAAAACCTGTAATTTGTGCTGTATGTCTGTTCAACCATATTTACCTCTTTCATAGTAAGTGCACCCACACCTATATATCATTTTATTTATGAGAAACAGGGCTTTCATTTCACATTAAATATTTATATATATAAATATCGCCGGTGATCGGGTAAGTACATAGGAAGGTGGGGACATTCTATGCGTTTAGAGCCGGGTCCCCAAGGACAGCATAGCATGCACGCCATCCTTAAGGGGTTAAAATTATAGACTGATCATTTCTTTGGCAGTGGGCAAACGTTTAAAGGACCACTCTAGGCACCCAGACCACTTCAGCTTAATGAAGTGGTCTGAGTGCCCGGTCCAGCTAGGGTTAACCCATTTTTAATAAACATAGCAGTTTCAGAGAAACTGCTATGTTTATCAATGGGTTAAGCCTTCCCCCTAATCCTCTAGTGGCTGTCTCATTGACAGCCACTAGAGGCGCTTGCGTGCTTCTCACTATGATTTTCACAGTGAGAGCACGCCAGCGTCCATAGGAAAGCATTATGAATGCTTTCCTATGTGACCGGCTGAATGCGCGCTCAGCTCTTGCCGTGCATGTGCATTCAGCCGACGGGGCGGATCGGAGGAGGAGAGAAGGAGGAGAGCTCTCCGCCCAGCGCTGGAAAAAGGTAAGTTTAAACCCCTTTCCCCCTTCCAGAGCCGGGCGGGAAGGGGACCCTGAGGGTGGGGGCACCCTCAGGGCACTATAGTTCCAGGAAAACGAGTATGTTTTCCTGGCACTATAGTGGTCCTTTAACATCATCAGGGGATCAAATACTTTTCGCCCCCACTGTACATCCAATCGAATAGCCCAAACATAATAGATATATGTATTAGTGTGTGTGTGTGTGTGTGTATATATATATATATATATATATATATATATATATTTGTGCTCAGAATCTCTATTATGTTAATGGAATGTAGAGGAGAAGCAAAGTTGGTTGAGGTGTGCCAAAACCAACGTACGAGTAGGCCTGTAAAAAGAGGGCCCACAAAGAGAGTGAGAGGGTGTAGGTGGGTAGGGTCAAAACAGCTTGAACGGCAAAGGTAAGTAGGGGGTAGGGTTTATAAAGGGTCATAATTCCTCCCACAAATTCAGGCCAAATGGCCTTCCAACTTGTGCTCAGAATCTCTATTATGTTAATGGAATGTAGAGGAGAAGCAAAGTTGGTTGAGGTGTGCCGAAACCAACGTACGAGTAGGCTTGTAAAAAGAGGGTAAAAAGGAATTCAAAGTAAACACACTTTATTGCAAGTTTAAACTGCGAGATTTCTGAAAGCCTGCCTGAGCTCCCTTTCTGGTCGAGGGATGTAGGAGTTGGATTTCCAGCGTCCCAGCCTCTTAATGATGTGTCAGCCACGGAGTATTAGTGATTGAAGCTGATGATGCTGCGTCGATGCGAAATGAGTGACCAGAGAAGGAAGCTTGGTTGTAGCCTAACCTTGACAATAGAGTTCTGATGTGTGACATAAATTTAGTTGTGGTGAGTGGGTGTCCTTGGAGTAGAAGTAGTGGCGTATCTGGTGAGTGTATGAGGTGAGAAACCAGGAGCATATCCGGAACATGTACAGGGCACCACAAATTCTCGGTAGGGAAGAGGGAAATGATAGTGGGATAGGTAGAGTGATTAGTTTTGGTAGAAGGCAAAGAGAGTACAAAATGGTCGTCTACTTTCTTTAAGTATGAAAGTTTGAGGCATCGTACTGTGTCTCCTTGACGTATCACGGTGAACTCTCTAGGTCTGAGGAAACCGTAGAAAGCCAAAAAGATGGCAGATTTCATGACTAAATTAGTATTATGGTCAAACGGGGATTTGTCCAATAAGTCACTAAGGAGCCAGAGTATTGGACCATCTATTAATAGCCTAGTTGTGCTAGGAGGGACTGTGACCTTGAAAATACCTTTGAGGATTTTCTTAATGGGGTAGGAAGAAAGAAAAGGAGCGTGGTTAGGGAAGTTAGTGAGGATGTGGTGTTGTACTCCGGTAAGGTAGAGTTTGATGGTATTATGTGAAAGTTTTAGGTGTAAATGGCAAAATGAGGCAAAAGCCAACATGGTTTTGATGGAAAGGTCACCTTGTAAGCAAAACTCGGCTGTGAATTTGTTAAAGATAGTCAGTGCCCTAGCATAAGAGATAGTGGTGTTGGGAGACAGTGCGTGGTGCGTGAGTGTTTGTGCATGGAATAATAGTTTAAACCAGGGTTAGCCGGAGGAACGATGGTGTCCCGGCTGATTGGAGGTGTGCCTAATGGGGAGCCTGGCCGGAGACCTGAAATTTAAGAGCATAAAAGAGTGTTAGCTGCTGAGTAGAGGAGGTGTAGTGAATGAGGTGTAAGATATATCTATCTTGCTTAAGCATGTATACCTACATGCTGGAATAGTAGAATGTAGGCAAATTACAACAAAATTATACATTGGTATGACAGAAACTACTCCAGGATCTGGAGGGAAAGGAAAAGGATATGAAATGTCAAATAACAACTTTATTACTTGGAGTGCAAGTAAGAAGCCCCCCGTGACGCGCTAAATGAGGACCCTCCATACCTGATGCCCAAATCAACTACCTTGTGCATATATAAATCAAGCTCTTCTCTCCTATGTGGGTACACCGTGCAGATAACGTAGCGATAAGTGCCAAACACTATAACAAACTGTGGGATGGTGAGTTTTTTATTCAAACGTGGGTCTCTAGCTTTTAAGACAACTGAATTGTCCCCGTAGTTATATGCTCTATTTTCTAGGACGTCTTGGGAGGCTATGAGGAGGGACATTAAATTGACATCCTTTCCATCAAGAATATCTTTATTGATGGAAGCCGGGACAGAGTGGGCTGGTGAGGCGTGGGCAGTGAGAGTGGCTGGTGGGGGAGGGGAGTTGAGGGGAATGGCAGTCAGAGCAGTCGAGGTTACCGGTGTAGGGACTGCTGGGGCTGTTAAGTCACCTGGAGTGGCTATGGCTTATTCCACCTTCAGCAACCTGCTGTTAATGGATTGCAGACTGGCCAGTATAGCCGCCAGAGTTTCCTGGGTGGAAACAGAGTAGCCAACTGGAGGCCCTTGTGAACTCGTGCCGGGCCTTGGGTCGTTGGCCTGAGTCGTCAGCAGTTTATAAAGTTCTGCTTTCCTGGTGGTGGCTGGAAAGGGGATTCCCCTGAGCCTGAGCTCAGCCGATATTTTTGGAATGGTCCAATATCTTAAGGATCTGGGAGTAGAAGAAGTGAGGAATTCCACCGGAGACCCAGACCTGGCTGGCGTGCTGGGTATATCGTCTGATGGGGGATCGATGATTGGTTCTTGAGACATCCTGAAAGGAATAATGATATGGATAAGTAGAGTATAGTGGAGGTGGGTGGTACCTCCGGAGAACTGGCCTGCTAGCTAATGCCGAAGCGAAGAATTATAATCAGAACCAAGTGACAATTGAGGCCCTGCTATTGCCAAGCAGCGGTGAGAGGCTCTACCTATGATTTGGGCCGAGGAGTTTTGTGGCCACCAAAACGAGGTGGCAGGATGTCGGCCTCTCGGTGACTGTAAGAGATTCAAAACGTGTGGCCGTGACATGGGAAGCCCTGACTGTAGCCCTAAAGAAGAGCGAGCAAGGTGGCTAGCTATGAT